CCCTACTCCGGAGTGATTGATCTTTCGCTCAAGGGTTGCACAGCGGTGGTTATATGTCAGGAAGTGCATCAGGCTTCAATGGCGCTGATTTTTATGATGGAAATGCTCTCATCAGCGAAGCCAATGGTGGCGTCGTTTCCGTTGTAATTCAATACCGTCTTGGTCTCTTCGGTTTCTTAGCTGGCAAAGAAGTCAAGAAGAATGGTGCTCTGAATGTCGGGCTTTGTAAGGCGAATCATTCATAGTGTCATACACCCTTTAACCCCCTCAACAGTGGACCAACAATTCGCCCTTCAATGGGTGCAGCATAACGTTTGTACAACTATGTCCAGCCGTATATATTCCACGACTTAGGAAGGAGGGTATAGATACACAAATTCAATGGCGATCCGACCCGCGTCACCATTTGGGGCCAATCAGCAGGTAGATAAAAATGACACGGGAGAAGAATTGCCCGCTTACCTTCAATCCAGGCGCTGGGTCAGTCATGCAACATATCGTAGCAAATGATGGGAATACTTCGCCTCCTCTCTTCCGAGCAGCGATCACAAGCTCTACCTTCTTGCCTTCCCAATACAGATACGATCACCGTATCCCTGAGGTTTGTTGACGCATTCGAACACCATCCGAGAACTGGACAATATCTTCTCAGGTTTTGTACAGCGAGGTTGTAGCCCAGACAAAGTGAGTTCCACGAGGAATACCATGATTTGTCTCGTATCGATGTAGAAAATCAGTTGTTCCGTTGCGTTGAATACGCTTGACTGTCTCAGAGGCGTTGATGCTGAGATACTCGAGACCGCCAATGGGAATATAGGAAACAGCGGATTCTTTGGAGTCTTTTTGTTCGTCCCTGTTGTCGACGATGAATTGATAAAGGAAAGGGTCACCGAAGCTTTGGAAAAGAAAAGGATTAATGGTGTGCGTGCTCATTCTTCTCTTACGCAAGGCATGACGATAATAGATATGAAATACAGGATATCATACTAGCTGCCACGAACACCTTTGAAGGTGCCCTTTTCATCGATCCAAAAACTCCCGTGGACGTGGACGTCACAAACTACGTTACACAACTTTTCCCCGATTTCAGTGACGAACAGATTGCAGGGGTGACAGCACTCTATAAAGACCTCGGCACACCTCTTTTCCAGGTTACAGCCATTATGGGCGAATGTCAACTCATATTCGTGAGCCTCACATAGCGATACTGACCGCAATGTAGCGATTTTCATCTGCCCCACTTATTTCATGTTGGAGGCCTTTGGTGGTCAAGGTTACAAAGTGAGTAGCCAAGGGAAGGAAAGTGTCTTTAATGGATGCGACCTGAACCGTTTCAAGACCGAATTTGCCATTCCTCCCGGCGGACATGGGAATGATGTGGCATACTATTACCCAACGTATGCACAGTTTCTCTTGTCTGGAGTGTCCTTGACTCTATTGTTAATTGTTTTCATTCTAAAGAAATGGACCGCCGCTCTTCAACAATGCTGACTTCATCAAAGCCTTTTCGCACTCTTTTTTGGACTTTGCGGTATCACTGGATCCTAACCAGAAGTCCTCCCCGACGATCACCCCGAACTGGGCACTATGGGGAGGGAAGAACGAAATGCTGTTCAATATGACTGAGAGCGGCCTGCCAGACGTTCGTGCGATTCAAACATCAAGTCTGTTGCTACAACGATGCCAGTAAGCTTAGTGCATCGTATCAAACGACAAGCGAGAGTTGACTTCCTTTTAGGTTCTGGAAAGATAACAGTGCTGCGTCAGCTCAGTGATTAGGTGAATGTTCAGTAATATATTCCTATGGAACTTGATGTGGTTTCGTACGATATCATCTGTGCTTGATTATGGACAGGTAATAAGTAAGGTAGCGATGATGGTGAAATTTTGGGTTAACACATCACCTCGGGAACGGCTGTAGTCATATGATATGCCTTCTTGGCTCAGTTGGCTAGAGCGCAGGTCTCATAGAAATATGACATAGTCGTCTGCTATGCAATCCTGAGGTCGCAAGTTCGAGCCTTGCAGAGGGCATCTTTGTCTTTTCTCAGTTTTGGCACCAAAGAAAGCCAGGCCTCCGCCAAGCGAGGTCAGCGCGTCTGCCTGGAAGCATCACCTACACAATCTACACAGTCACAGACAAGAGTGCACCCGCGTCCCAAGCCGTACATGCTTTCCAGTCTGGTTGGCCAAAACTGATCTTTGCAGAGGTGGACGGTTATTTTGTCCGGCACCAGAACAGCACGACGTCACGTCAAGCAAGTAATCCAGCTCGCGCTCGTAGTCGGGGCGCCCTCGACTCTAGCTGGCACGACGTTGACGAATTTGAGAAGACCAGCCTGCAATGGTGCATGGTACGGGGGCCAAAACTCTCCGTCCCCCCGCGTGTCGTCCACATCATGGGCTTCCAAGTTCGACTGGTCCCGCGCTGTACGCAAACGCCAGATCACAGCCTCCCATTGCTGGGTCCTGAGATTGATTAGAGTTTCGAGAACCTGTGTTCAGCCAGCAGAAGACAGAAAGGTTGAGGACGCCCGTCGACCTTAAGCTCAAGGTGGCAGTCGTTATGGTGGTTGCATGTGCCGCACTCAATCGTTATAGTGGTTGCGTGGTCCACGACTTTCTTGTTTGGAGAGGGTGCTGCTTTCTATATCGATGTGTTTATATATACATAATATCCATTACGTCTCCATGATGGATTTGTACATGTAAGTTTATGGCTGAACGAATGGATCGGGAAAAGTGGGTTGAGAGCATCTCAAACGTCATCTAAAAGACTCACTGTAAAACAGAGACGATCAGGAAATGCTCCCTTTGAATAATGTGGTACAATCCACTTACAGATCTGGCTCGTCGTCTGGAATACTGGGTAGATCCAGAATTCCGGAAAGTGCAATTATCTTGTCGAGATTATAGGAACGCACGCAAACATGCGTTCTCATAAGCAATTGTCCGACTATCGGGACAGGAAAGTCTCCAACATAGGCAGGGTCAATTGATTTTACGGGGTCGAGTATTTTCAGTACACGCAAGACAATGAAATTGCCCTTTGAGTGCTCCGGAAGCGTCGATCGCTCAAAGCGCACGACAAGTCGTCCTGAAAAGAGCATTAGCTGGAAGCTAGACAAACTCTGAAGGCAAATGTGTATATACCAGTATAAGGATTGAACTTCCAGGTCTGGTTGTAAAAGACGGCGTAGAGCCTCCTGGTGATGACCTTTTCAGGCAAAATAAAGCAAACTGTGTTATATATTTGGGAGATGTCTAAAACAAACGGTTGTTCCAAATAGGTTAACCGCCGTTTGAAGTGGCGTGAATCTGGAGAAAGTGTCGATGGACCTTTTGCTATTTCCACATCTGAGCTCCCGAACAAACTCGGAAGACGTCTAAAACGTGAATCTTTGAATATCACAGTTTTTATTTGGCCATATTTCAAGGTCTTGAGCAAAGCGCCTTCTTCTGGAGTGGGCTGAAGTAGAGCAGCGTCTTTTACCAGCGGTTGTATGGGTTCTAGAACTTTGAGGACTCGCATGACAATAGATGTATCGTCTTTGTGCTCGACTAGTGATGCCTGTTCAAATCGAACCAGTAATTTTCCTATTCAATGTCAGAGCTAAAAATTCCCTACTTATCGGGACATCCACCTTTGTACACTGAATGGCTCCACTTCCTAGGCATATGGAGTAAAATGGGCACCAGAACCTTCTCAGTGCGAAGCTGGGAATCAATCAAAGATATACATGACCACTGTTCCAACGTCACAACGAAAGGCTTCTCCAGATAAGACAGGAGGGACTTCCTTCCGTGGTCCAAGATTTCAGCTGGAATATTGTGATTCTGAGCGAGTAGTTCCTTCAAGGGAGCATGCATAGCAGATAACCGAATAAGAGAGATAGACCACGGCAATGCACCGTCTGCCCTCATGAGGTCAGTGCCGTCGTGAAAATATGTCGGGTCGGAAGATTCTGTGACTCGGAAGCGAATTTCGTCAGTCGTAGGTGGGAGGTGTGGGTCGCGATGATAGTACAAAAACCCCTGAGTCTTCGATGGAAAACGCCGATCCACCGAGTACAAGACACATCCTATGATTCGACGCCCATCTTCAAACTCTGCGGTAAGTCTGCCTCGCATTAGATTGGAGAAGTCGAGAAAATCGCTGGTTTGAAGACGCTCTGGATCAAGCGTCCTAATGATTCGTTTGGTGGTCCTATATTTGCATGTCAAGTTGAGTATCGATGGTACACATCGTGCACGGTTGACAAGCTTTGGAACTGGGCAATTCCTCGTCCACATGAAGTCGCGACGCTATGTACGTGGAACGGAATCGACTGCTCACAGCAATTAGCGATTTACGCGTGCAATTCTATACATGCGCTCACACTGCTACAATGGGTCCATAAAGCACAATGGGTTACTGGAGCCTAGGGTATTGTGAACGGTTCGTGGTTATTGCCAAATACTAGAATTGCTCTTTTTCCTCGATTCAAAGTCCGCCGGTCGAGGTCGTGACACGTGGCGCATGTGCACGGTTTTTGTTTAGTGCTTTCGCTTTCGGTCTGTCCGGAAAGAGGTAATGCCCAACTTCTCAGATCCAGTGCATACTTCGTTTATGAATTGACTGTTTATCCTAATACATACTTGTTCGCTCGAGGCTATTGCACATCGTCCAAAAACGTTACACAAAGAGGAGTGCATCGTCAGCAAGGGGATCCCCGCAGACAACGCAAACACTTCGACGAGTTGATACCAGGAATAAGCCAGTCAAGTCCTGTAAAGGTATGTTGGGAGTGTGTAGGAGAGAACTGATGAGAAACTGATTAGAATGCAAATTTGAAAATCTACACGTTCAAGAGCAAGACCTGCCTCTCAGCACAAAATACGTCATGCCTTCATTCCGTGTCTCCCTTTGGCATACTTCTAATCTGATAGGCGCATTTGGACCTTGGTGGTAGCTACAGGTGTGTGGACCCACCTCGATATCACCCGTCTTTATATTACATGCCTTCTTGGCTCAGTTGGCTAGAGCGCAGGTCTCATAGTAATATGACATAGTTCCATACTATGCAATCCTGAGGTCGCAAGTTCGAGCCTTGCAGAGGGCATTTTTCTTGATTCTCAATTTTGGCACCGAAGAAAGGCATGTACTTAAATTATCGATAACATCTCTGGTACGTGAAATCTTGAGTACGACAAAGTAAAAATGTCTCAGTGAAGAGGTCTACAGCCTGACATAATGGATGGTCGACCTCACTTGGAAAGAGATGATGGTTGATATCGTGCCTTATCTTACACTGGGGCTAGCGGGCTTTGCAACGTAGCCCCAGCTGACAGAAAGCCATGTACTTGTTATTTATCCAACCCATTAACAGGCAATCATATCTAGCATTACACATTGACAACTTTTATATATCCTATCACACAAACAACGATCTTCCGAACTGCGATCCACAATAACACGGTTTAATGAGTACAGAACTACAACAATACAATGAAATGAAGGGAGCCTGATACAATTAGGTCTGTACGGCCAATGCAATAATCTATGTAGAATGAGTAATGAGAGGACGAACATTGAATATCTATACGATGTCCAGTTTGGACAGAGGTGAAGAGTTGTGTGGTACTGAGATAGTACTATACAGGGCCCAATAATGTCCATCCATCCGGTCCCGTTGTTCGAGTCACTAGGTCCTGCTCTGCATATTACTTGATGTCACTCGATGACTCGAAGGTATAACAAGAAAAGAGTGTCAGCCACGCATTTCACGGGCTTGCCTCTCCTTTTCTTTCTTGCGCCTGCGTTTCTCCTCTTCGTGGCGGCGTTCCTGTTCGAGCGCCAACTGGTCTTCCTTCTTTGCAAGACGAGCACTATGAACAGGCAAAGGTCAAGATACGATGAACCGAGAAGAAGATGGTGATAATGGTATACCTCCGCAGCTCCTCTCTCTCGAGGGCAGTTGCGTCTGCCTCCATATCTTCATCGTCGCTGAAGACGTCTCGACTGATATAGCGATCCCTGTCCTTCCCGAACATCTGCCAAATAGCATTGCTATATCCTGAGCCGGCCTGCCTTCTGGGAGGCGACACAGAATCCGAATCTGATCCTTCGGATAGACTAGGAGAACGAGGACGTTTCTTCCCAACGGAGGCGGATGATTTAACACCTCCAACGCCGATTGAGGCTTTAGATGTATTCAAGGAAATTGACTTCGTGGATGAAGTACTGGGTTTAGAGTTCGCAGAAGAGGCCTTGACATTTTGTGCTTTGGATACAACGGCCTTTAATGGTGTCGGTTTAGAAAGTGCAGTCGGTTTCGTCGACGATATATTTGGTTGAGGAGTAATACTGCGACCTTTTCGAAAGGGCCTAGAAATGAATGGCGTAACCATGAAATGAATATCGATACACTCACGGGAAGAAGGCGTATTTGCACCAGAAGGAGCGTTTGAGGTGGACACAGTCTTTTTCGTCTCTTTCTTGCCTGTAAACCAGTTGTCGAAACCACGCGCCTGATCTCCTTCGAGGGTTTTACCTTCTCGTAACTTAGCGCGATCTTGTATGATTTCATCAATAGTGCGAGTATCGCGCTTAACTGTGTTGAGCTTGGTCAGGGTATTAGGCATCGAAGTCAGCCGCTCTCTAACGGACTTCATTGATGGTGAAGAATTGGAAGCCGACTGTGACCCTGTCATGACATCGACGGCACCACCAGGTAGGCGTCTACCAGCCTTGGAATGGGAGGTTGTCGAGCGTTTAGTAGGGTGGAAGAGCCTACGCATCTCCTGTTGTTGCTTTCTCTGGCGTTTCTCTTCCCTAGTGAGAAACTCAGGGGCAGAGCCATCGTCGTCATCATCATCTGGCAACCGTCGTTTCCGAACTTCCTCTTGTGTTCGAGTTTGTGAAGCAGAAGAAGGCCACTTTGGAGCAGAACCATCAGAGAGTGCTTTAGCCTTTTTGGGGCCATGCTGATAGGAATTGCGCTCCATTTCTGCTCGCTTTTGGCGTTCCGCCTCAATAGCAGCTTGCTCTTGTTCTTGTTTCAACTGACGCTCTCTCTGTCTCTTCTCTTCTTCGAAGATCATCAGTCGACGCTTCCTCGCTAGCTCCTGCTCCTTCCTGTCCTGCTCCTCTGCCTTTCTTCGCTTCGCTTCCTCCCTCCTCGTCCGCTCGGCGAGGGCGTTCTGAACGTCCTCTGCTGCCAACTTGGTTTGTGAGTGGCTTAGCGCCATAAGAGCCTGGAAAGCAGCCATCGCAGATAGACGAGACGAAGAGAAAGAGATCAAGGATAGCGAACAGTGGAAGCCTCTGGAAGCGTGGCAAGGTCACAAAATTTGGCCCTGTTTGGTAGACCACTGCCTCTTTATAACAGTGGTGTATGCTCTGTCTACGTAGTGTAATACCAACTGTCTATCAGAGTTTATCGACTCCACAACTGCCGAGGAAGCAATGATGCCATGTACATCGCAACACATACGACCGCAGTCAAAACGTAATATACCAGATAACCGCCCAAGTAGTTCCTGCCGATAGAGAGAGAAAATAGAGAGTTTGCGACTGCCGGGCCAATCGCTCTCATCAGACTCACACTCATCTATACTTGGGTTAACACGGATCATGATTTCTTTCGCGTATGATTCTCGACGCACCTGACTCAAACCATTTGTCGCGCCAATAGATGCACGGTTCGGGGACGCCGCGGCAATGAATATGAAAATGGCTCCTGAAAGTCATCATGTAGCATAAGTGACGCTACATGTCTTGATTGTTCTCACCATACGATAAACTCAGTCCAATGGAAACCAGGGCTTGTAAAGCGACGGCTGCCCAGACCAATGTCGTCACGCCGTGTGACTTGGCCAATGCGTTGATTATGGGGAACGCAATGAAGCACGGGAAGGCGCATGCCATTCCTGCGATAAACGTCCTCTTGGAACCGAAATGGTCGTGAATGCTTTGGAAGAAGAATACTTGGAAGGCTCCATTACAGACCCCGTAGGCGGAAAGGATATTACCTATGACAGGTAGGGATAGTCCGAGACCCCCGAAAGCGACAGGAGTCGATAGAAATAGCGGCTGAATCGCACGAAATGCTATATCTACTAGAGACAGGCTCGCATAATTGCCAGCCGCAAGTAAGACTCGGGAAGTAAGAAGATCACGCAATGGAAGCGGTTCCTCCTCATCATGCACGTCTTGACCCTGACGGCCTAGTGGCTCCTGTGATACGGCACATTTCGCAGGTAAACTAACTTTATCCTTGCGGGATTTGAATAGCTGAGAGATTGAGACAGGAGATTTGAGGGTTTCCTTGAGATAGAGAAAGGTAACCAGCCATGCTACCGCCGCATATGTTGCTGGAACCGCGCAAGGCAAGAAATAAGGGTACTTTTTGAGGAATTTGTTATTGCCAAAGAGTTCGGGATATCGTTCGGCGGGTCGTGCAAGAGATCCGCCGATAAGAGGGCCGAGCTGCGCTCTTTTTGTCAACAATAACATTAAGCGCCAATGACTCAGAACTTACAGTTCCACCTGTGGACCACGCGATAGGTTGATAAGCATATGCCTGAGGGAAGAGTCGATCATATGTAGATAGGCAGATAAACAAAGGAGTGTAACCTACCCGCGCGATGTTCGTTGAGTCTGTTAACTCTACCACGATACTTGTGACATCGAAGATGAGCCCCAAAAATGATCTAAGCCAATTAGGTCTAGAAAGTTACCTTTTCATTACGCCAATATTTCCATCTAGCAAGATCTATGTTGAAAAAAGCCACGAAGACGAAAAGACATTATACGTACTCAAAGCACCATTGAGACATCGGCTACAAAAATTCTGGTCAGAGGACTTGGTAATGAGAATATGGTATTCGACCACCTTAGAACCAAGCCCCAAAATGTACTAGAAAGTCCGAAAAAATACATCGAAAGAGACAGCCCAAGCAGACCAACGAGGAGGACTGGCTTACGCCCGATGAAGTCTGATACGCGACTCCAATGCAAAACTGTAAAGGCTTGCGTCAAGAAGAATAAGGATTGCTGTAAGACGAATCAACCATAGGTCGAGCTTCATTGCGACAGGAACAGACCATGAGCCCAACGTAGTATCCAACTTGAGTTTCATCCCCATTCGTGATTCCAATGTCTCGTATTAGCTGCAGAGATTGTCAAAGAAACGGAATACACTAAGTCGGAAACATATACCTGGGGTGCGAACGGATATATCACCTGAGATGTCAATGGTTCTGTAAGTTGAAGAAACAAAACAATCGTGAACTGTCCCCATGGGATCGGAGTCCTTTTTTTTGGCTGTTGCTGGAGCAAAGGGGTTTCCTCGTCTGCCTGTTGTCGGGCCATAGTATGTTTAGTTATACCGCCTCAACTTAAATGATGGAAAAAGAGTAAGAAAGGTCGATAAATAGGATAATGGGTCGAAAGAAGGAAAACTGGGACGTCTTTTACTAATTTATCGCATGATGTGTGATGTTCGTTTTGATAATCGGCCCACTTTACCGAAGCCATATGAGGCGTCGCAGGACATGGAAGTGGAATAAGGTTGAAGCTGAAGTGTTTCGCGTGAGTCGTCTCCGGACCGGAAAACCGGGGATACGTCTGCCTTGATCCTATGTACCCTGATCCGCGGCGGCTGGACCGAAAAATGACACTCCAAAACGAATCATTGAATGTGGCAAGTAGCTCCACTTGACCAAGGTTAACTTCGAGAACATCTTTCTAGTCTCCATAGCCGGTACCATCGATCTCCATACAGGCTCTTCACCAGGGTCGTACGATGGGTACTGCCACTAGTACGAGTAGTTGCCAGGGAAGGAGGATGTCCTTCATCCGATGTATGAGGGAGATCTATTCTCGTCCAAGTAATGCCGATAGATGGTGCTTAGCCCAAAACTCGTAGTCGTACTAACACCGTTCGCGCATTCCATACCATCACCCCTGAAAGCTATAGACCAAACACTTAGGTATCCCACAATTGAATTTCAGGGGTTTCATGATACAAAATCTGAAAACTGACTTATAGTATGCAACTGAACGCTTCGGTTAGCCTTGAGAAGATCCTTCCACTATTCGGAAAGCAGCGAAACCGAA